GGGGGGGGTTATAAAAAACTATGCACCTAAAACTGACTTATTTCAGTACATATATTGAAACTGAAGTAAATAAATTGCATGGATATGGTTTTTAAGAAGGGAGCAGTCGAAGTGTCTCAGGCATCGAAGTGTCTAAGGCATTTAAAGAACCAAAACTCCTGAATGGGGGTCTTCAGAGACATTTGTGCCCTGAGCACTGTCAAATATTTAGTAATTTGATCGACTATATTGTTGCATTTAAGTTTTACCTGGGTTTCTGTAAATATAATCAAATATTGATTTTAGTGCTATATAATTTGTATGTAGCCAGCTAGAATTTATAACTGTAAATTTTAATTACAAAATAACAACAACTACAACAACAACAACAACAATAATAATAATAATAATAATAATAATAATAATATAACACTTTTCTATTCCATTACAGTAGAGCAGGGTCTTGTCCAGTGAAGCTGTAAAAGCTTAGGTGTTACGTGTGTATTAACTGCCCTTTACCACAGTCATGTACATTTAGACTTTTTCACTAGATATCAATAGCTATATGTATGTCTTCAGTTAATTCTATACACTATGCTGTCTAGCGAGAGTTAATGTATGGTATTGTTATAACCTGGCTGGTCTCTGATAAAAGAAATGGAAATATATATGCATGCTCTCAAGACTGTAGGTGGGTTGAGACAGACGAAGTACTTTTGAGTTTGGTTAATAAATTATTCCTTGAACTTTCGTGTGAAATCTTGCCATCCCTTCATGTCAGTGACGTTAGAAAACATGGTTGCAAAATACGCCTCTGCAGTAATACCTGCACGTAAACACGTTTAAATTGCACATATACAAAGGCGTCAAGTATTGACCTTGTTCCGTGTACAGGTAGGATACATGCATTTGGGCTTACAGCGGCATATCCCTTCAGCCATTCTAGCTCGTTCAAAATACTGGAGAAGTTGCTGTAACTGTGGGATCCAAAATGACCAACGTTGTTGTACAGAGTTTCTCTGAGTTATTCGCTACCATTGGTTTGCCGACAGTTATGATATTCGCGGCAGTGTTGTTGTTAAGTCTGTGGATCCTGTCATCCAGCAATCCTCGGGTGAACTGGCCGCCCGGACCATTATGTTTCCCCGTGGTGGGATGTCTCCCTCAGCTGATGATCAGCGGTAAAAGACGACAACCGACAGATCTTCTTCCATGGTATGATACATACGGAGATATCATGCACATCAAACTTGGAGAACAACACATGATAATGCTGGGGACTTATGAGTTGATAGAAGAGGCCTTCGTGAAGAATGCAGCTACAGTCAGTGCTAGGCCTACCTGGGTATATTTTTTAAGACAAATAGTAGGAAAAGACGGTAATTAAAGAGATTTCTTTTTATGCATGTTAGCATTCCAGTAGACAAGGACCCAGGTCCCTATTAGCATAACATGTAGGGCACGCTTTAGTAAACAATCTGATATTGTTTGGTTTTGCTCGTCACCCCCCCCCCCCCAATCCACCAAATCCAACTTTGGTACATGCTCTCACAATCATTTAGGAACAAACTTAAGTGTGCAGTGTGAAGGCCTCGCCGAGTAAATTGGCCCCGTAACTTGAAAGCATCGCGCATTGCGACCAAGCGCAACCGTCTCGATTCCATAACTCGCCCATACTCGCCCCATTTAATACATTGAAGCCTCTATGCGTTATCGCTATTCACAGTACGCAATGCTTTCGAGTTACGGGTCCTTGATATATTTTATGTAGATGTAAATTGCAGGTGCTGGAGTTTTATTTAAAAACGGACACGCATGGAAGGAGCTGAGGAGATTCACACTCTCGTCCCTTCGAGATTTCGGCCTTGGGAGAAAAAGTTTACAAGAAAAAATTCAGGATGAGGCCAGATACTTGGTGCAAAGCATTGAAGATGAAAATGGAAAGGCTTTCTCTCCAAGGGATAGGGTTGGAAAAGCTGTCAACAACATAATTTCTTTCGTAGTGTTTGGAGCTAGGTAACTGAATAGCTACACTTAGCAACTAGTAAAAATATTTAAGATGTTTAAAGTGATTTGCGGACTATGTGTATATACTGTATATACATGTACTGCCGTACGGTGCAGAAATCTAAAGGAACTTCTATACCATGGGCAGATCCAGGACTACTGTATGAAGAGGGGTCCAACAGGCCTCAGATGCAAAGCCGACCCTCGCCCCACCCCCTTGTAGTGGGGTTTTGGCGCCCTCTGAAAAGCCCAAAAAATTTGGTATTTTAGAGGGCAAAGGGTGCCACATACGGTTTAGAACTATAATTCAGCTAGTCGAAAGTCAAATCTTAAGGGGGAGTATTGGTGTGATTTTTTGTCAGAAATTGAAAAGGGGGGGGGGGGGGGGGCCCCCCCCTGACAGCCCCCTAAATCTGCCACTGTGTACTATGCTAAAACAGTTGACAAACGTTAACATGGCACCGCCGTATGCGTGAAGCACTAGTGTATATTCTATTTTTTATCTAAATCATGAAACAATGAGTTTCATCTGAGATCTGAGATGGCGACTGCCTTGTAAAAGCTCACAGAATGTCATGTGTTTATCTTTCTGACCATTTTCTCCTACGTTTTTCCAAACTGACATCTATTGTTTAACAATTTTTATATGTCACTTTAAAAAAAATATAACAAAGCGTGAAAAAGCACTTTTTTAATTTAAAAATTGCTTCTTTAAACGAATCTCCCAGCATAGCGAGTTTCAATTTATCTGCTGAAAAAGGCCCACCTTACGTGGATTCTCGTTTTAAAATATCGTGTGACGTCACGCAGTACTCTTTCTATGCCTTCTCGGATGAAGTCCATAATGTATTATCTTTATTTTATAAAAGTGACAATATCCTTAAAACGATTTCAGATATGACTATGATGAAACCCCAGCGATGTTGCCAATTTTGGAGGAATCCTTGAGAATGAACAAAGGAGGCCCATTGTCATTTACCAACTTGGTGCGCTTCTTCTTGCCGGTAAAATAGAATTATTTATATTTAAGACCTATTACTTAGTGCTTATTCAAAAGATTTTCACCTTTACGTTTTCTTCATTTCATTTTGCTGTTAAATTTTTAGAAATTCTGAATAAATTCATATATTTCGAAATCAGACCATTTGGCGGTACAGTGCTGACTTTAAGTTTTTGCGACAAAATTTGCGCCATAAACCTCAAGAACGCGTTTCAAACCCTACAAAATTAAGATAAATTTTATTTTAGGTGAAAAATGTATTTGCCCCCGTGGACAAATTGTATTTGGAAAATAGCACAGTTTATATGAAAGACTCTTTTTTTGCAATATGTATATATACAGCAATACGTTTCGATTTAAACAAAAATTTGGACACTTTCATTTCAGAAGAAGAAGTTCGCCCTCTTGGATAAATTCTATAGTTTGGTAAGACAGGAGGTAGAACGACATCGCCAGTCCTTTGATCCAACTGACATCCGGGACTTCATTGACCTCTATATAAAGGTCACTCAAGACAGACTAGATCCAGAGATTTTCACAGGCATGACGATTTCACATAGAGAGCTAATCCCGACCTGACAACTCTCTTTCAAACGTTTGGTTCACAGCGTATCGCCCGATAAAATTTCGATAATTTTCATCACCGTCTTCTTATTGTAAACACCGTCTATTGATTGTAATCATCATCTACTTATTATTATTTTTCTTACTTTGAGCTCTCCTTTTTTTGTACGTTTTTAGAATGGAACGTATTCCGCATAATAGTAGATTTGTATTTGGCTGGAACTGACACAACAGCAAATACTTTGAGATGGTCCCTTATCCACATGGTAAATCACCCGGATGTACAGAAGAGGGTACAGCAGGAAATTGATCAGGTAACGACTCAAAGTACAAATGAACAAGAGCGAGAGATTAAAGGATCTTGTGTTCTTATTTCTTATTTTTTTATTCTGTGTGAAATATGTGTTTATCCCTTTTTGTTTGTAAAACACGTTCATGAAATTTGGCCTTAACCGATTTGTGGAGAGACAATGGTGTGAGGCATACTGTTAAGTAGGCTGACCTCATAGAGCCAACATATTCATATTGGATAAATGATTTTATCTATGGTCATAGGTCAAGGTCGTGTTGCCAAGATGGAGGACAAGGCCAGGATGCCGTTCACTGAAGCAACCATCCTGGAGGTCTTTCGCATGTCTCCTGTTGGTCAGTAACTTATTTGCATTTTTTACATATTTCAAATTTTAATACCAATGCCAATAAAACGCCATTCAACAATAATATAGATACATCAGTGTTTGGTTTTTATCAATTAAAATTGGAAAACTGCGACACCTTATTAATTAAAAAAATACAAATAAATTAATTAATTGTTCAATTTCTGGTCCTGTGCCCATTAAATTCGGTCTGTTTAACTGGAAATCCAACCTAAATGCTTTTAGGGCAATTCTAACAAAGTCTTTATCACAATTCCCTCTCATCGCCCATGATGACCAAAGGACAAGTCAACTTTATTATAGAAAATAGTGGAAACAGTGAGGATGTTACGGCAACGAATAAAAGCACACAAAATTTATTTATGGGTAGATTATTACTGCAGAACAGCACGACTTTACCTGTGGGTATCACTTTTAGTTGCTCTCTAATATGACCTTCCCGGGAGACTGCGTTCAACCCTTATCACTGTGAAATGTTATCCAGCCCCTCGTGTATTCTCGCATGTTCTCGTATGACGTCACGCTTTGGTTTTCCTTCGAATGAATCAATTCAAAATGAAAATATAATTTCATTCCATGTCATCAGCTCCCTCTGGTGTTCCCCATGCCACCAGTGAAGCGACAACTTTGGCCGGATACACAATTCCCAAGGGCACCATAATACTGGGAGATTTGTACCGGGTTCTTCACGATAAAAATAACTTCGAGGATCCTTACAAGTTCAAACCAGAAAGATGGCTGGATGATGATGGAAAAGTGATCAAGTCGGACAAAATGATACCATTTTCCATAGGTACGTAACTTTACATTACACCTACATGTTAACCGTGCAGCAACGCATTAGTGAAATTTCTTATTATGTCTATACTAACAACTAAACCTTGTCTCTGTTAGGAAAATCAGAATTGTTCCAATCATATCCAATACGAAATACTCAAGTTCTACTTTATACACATAATTTACTATCTGATACCCTTTACATCAAACACTGAACCATGATACATGATCATGTTTGGCAGCAAAGGATGTTACCACTCGGCCAGCAAATCCTGTAATTTGCTGTGGCATTGAAAACATATTATTCCTGTCACACATGGCAAAGCTTTACAGAAATTGTCAAAGGCTAGACAATGCCTACAAAACACTTTTAACAGTTAAAACCAAATTCAAACTGCGGCCACTATCTTCCCACTGCCCATAGGTATTGCTAACACCTGTTAGTTGTCAACAGATCTTTCTAGTTTAGGAGAAAAAATGTGAAAAGAATACATCGGTTGGGCTATTATATATAGTTACAAATTTATTTATGTAATTAAGTGTACATTTTCTCATTGTGATCGCTTATTTGTATTTCAGGGCCTCGTATTTGCCTGGGTAAGGGACTGGCTGAAATGGAATCGTTCATTTTCTTCACCACGTTGCTTCAGAACTTCACCTTCAAGGTACCGGAGGGGGAGAACCCGCCCAGTGGAGTAGAGGGTCTGCATGCCATAACTTTCTCGCCACACGATTACAGTGTGTACGCAGTTAGGCGCTAGAAATATACTGACTGGAACGATAAACTGAATCTTAGGTTATAATTTATTAAAAGCAGCATTTTAGCCCACGCCTCACTTACTATAAATATCATTACATATACACCTTTGGTATTGAAATAAACCACAAAACACAAAGGTCATTTATATAGTTGCAAATTTATTGGCTTTTTTATATCTTGCCCTGACAGTTAGATATGGAAATAAGATATGTTATATAAAATATATGTACACCATACCGCCCTATCGATATGATAAAATGAGTTGTTAACTTAAAGAGAATGAAAAGATAGACAAAATGTGAATGTAGATCTTTCCAGTTATCAAAAACTGTAATATGAAATGGTCTTTCACAACATGAAAAGTGATAAATGAACTCTTGAAAAATAAAAGTTCATGTAATTGACGGTGTTTTCGAGATGTAAAAGTCAGAAGAAAGGGACATTTTCCATAATGGAAGTTAAAGATGACCTTTCGTCACGAAAAAGATGAGGGCTCATATTTGGTAACATTTTGTAAATAAATGTAATGTGATAAAATATGTTTTGTTTGTGCAGTGAATGAGATTCAAGTTGTCTTCTGTTTAAAAAATCAAGATCCTATCACTTGATTTTCGGTTTTGAACATCTTGTCCTCAGAATGGGCTTCTTCTCATCCGGGATATTTAAGAGAGCTGCATTAATACATCTGAATGCATACACGATATTCATCACGATTTTATTTATGTTATTGTCATAACTTAGCTGGTTTCTGGTATAAGATAAGTAAATGCATGCTCTCAAGATCGTAGTTAGATTGAGCAAAAGTATTTTGTTAAAACTCCTTGGGTTGAAGTAGACGGATAACTTTTGCGTCTGTTTTTTTTTTAAATCATTCCTTGAACTTTCGTGTGGAATCTCGCCATCTCTTCATGTCAGTGATGTTAAAAACATGGTGGCATAATACGCCTCTGCAGTAATACCTGCACGTACACACGTATTTGCACATAAAGGTGTCAGGAATACAATGTAGATCTTGTTTCGTATGGCATACACGTTTAAAGCCTTACAGCTGTATACTGCTTATGCAATTCTAGTTCTGACATAATACTGGAAAAGTTGCTNACCCACAATGCAATTTCTATTTCCGGAAAAGATGAAAAAGGCTAATAGATATCATTACATATACACCTTTGGTATTGAAATAAACCCCAAAACACAAAGGTCATGTATATAGTTGCAAATTTATTGGCTTTTTTATATCTTGCCCTGACAGTTAGATATGGAAATAAGATATGTTATATAAAAATATATGTACACCATACCGCCCTATCGATATGATAAAATGAGTTGTTAACTTAAAGAGAATGAAAAGATAGACAAAATGTGAATGTAGATCTTTCCAGTTATCAAAAACTGGAGTATGATGTGGTCTCTCACAACATGAAAAGTGATAAATGAAATCTTGAAAAATAAAAGTTCATGTAAATGACGGTGTTTTCGAGATGTAAAAGTCAGAAGAAAGGGACATTTTCCATAATGGAAGTTAAAGATGACCTTTCGTCACGAAAAAGATGAGGGCTCATATTTGGTAACATTTTGTAAATAAATGTAATGTGATAAAATATGTTTTGTTTGTGCAGTGAATGAGATTCAAGTTGTCTTCTGTTTAAAAAATCAAGATCCTATCACTTGATTTTCGGTTTTGAACATCTTGTCCTCAGAATGGGCTTCTTCTCATCCGGGATATTTAAGAGAGCTGCATTAATACATCTGAATGCATACACGATATTCATCACGATTTTATTTATGTTATTGTCATAACTTAGCTGGTTTCTGGTATAAGATATGTAAATGCATGCTCTCAAGATCGTAGTTAGATTGAGCAAAAGTATTTTGTTAAAACTCCTTGGGTTGAAGTAGACGGATAACTTTTGCGTCTGTTTTTTTTTTTTTTAAATCATTCCTTGAACTTTCGTGTGGAATCTCGCCATCTCTTCATGTCAGTGATGTTAAAAACATGGTGGCATAATACGCCTCTGCAGTAATACCTGCACGTACACACGTATACATTGCACATAAAGGTGTCAGGAATACAATGTAGATCTTGTTTCGTATGGCATACACGTTTAAAGCCTTACATCTGTATACTGCTTATGCAATTCTAGGTCTGACATAATACTGGAAAAGTTGCTGTAACTGTGAAATCCAAAATGGCCAACGTTGTGCAGAGTTTGTCTGAGTTTTTTGCAACCCTTGGTTTGCCGACAGTTTTGATATTCGTGGTAGTGTTTTTGTTAAGTCTGTGGATGTTGTCGTCGAGGAATCCTCGGGTGAACTGGCCGCCCGGACCTGTCTGTTTTCCCGTGGTGGGATGTCTCCCTCAGCTGATGATCAGCGGTAGAAGACGACAACCGACAGATCTTCTTCCATGGTATGATACTTACGGAAATATCATGCACATCAAACTTGGAGAACAACACATGATAATGCTGGGGACTTATGAGCTGATAGAAGAGGCTTTCGTGAAGAATGCAGCTACAGTCAGTGATAGGCCTAACTGGGTGTATTACATAAGACGATTAGTCGGAAAAGACGGTAAATAAAGATATTTCAACTTTTTTATGCAAGTTAGCTGTGTGAGTTTGGAGATAGAATGTGTGTGTGTGATGTGTGTGGGTTTTTGTGGGCGTTTATGTGATGGCGATAATTTTGTGTGTGTTTGATTGTGATTGTGTTTCTCTCCATCTCCATTTTTGTGTCTGGTAATTAAGGTAATTGGGCCATTATATATGCTTATTATATGTAAACTGCAGGTGCTGGAGTTATCTTAAAAAACGGACACGCATGGAAGGAGCTAAGGAGATTCACACTCTCGTCTCTTCGAGATTTCGGCCTTGGGAGAAAAAGTTTACAAGAAAAAATTCAGGATGAGGCCAGATACTTGGTGCAAAACATTGAAGATGAAAATGGAAAGGCTTTCGCTCCCAGAGACAGGATTGGGAAAGCTGTCAGCAACATTATTTCTATCATAGTGTTTGGAGCTAGGTAACTGAATAGCTAAACTTAGCGACTAGTAAAACTATTTAAGATATCTTAATGATTTGGGGAGTATGTGTATAGATTTACATGTACTGCCGGTACGGTGCACAAATGTAAGTTAAATTATTTAATTAGCCATATCTTCAAGTCAATTGGCTTCTTCTGAGATCGTCCAAAGTCTCTCGAAGTATCTGGAAATCAAACGAAATGTCGCGAGATTTGAAAGAGAGCATGATCAGAAATCATCGCAGACCTTGCATTTTTTCACACTGCAAAGGGCCTGATATTTTGAGGTACCGACCCGTTAATCAATCATTCCAGATATAGAATGGATGCTCTCCTAGAATTAACAGAAGTTGCAAATAAATTGATTCTACCTGCCATAGTTCCGGGCCTGTCTGTAAGCCGAGTGTTGGAAAAACAACCCAGCGGGCAAATTATGTTGTTTTAACGTTGAAACAACGTTGAACCATAACGTTGAGTAGACATTGGATAAACGTGGGATTTGAAAGTTGTGTCATCCTCAGATAACAACGTTGTATCAACGACAGAAAACAATGTTATATAAACCCAACCCAGCGGGAAATAAGCCTGGATGTGTTTAGCAGTAGGACATGTTTGATGGCTAAATATATGTAGGGTATAAATGTATGGCCTTTAAGTTAAAATGTCCAAGGTTTAGATTAATATATAGTTCTTATATATATATATAACAAAGTCACAGTCACCTCAACCTGTCTATCTGTAACAGGTTACCAAGAACTGTTAACTCCATCACATTTACAGCAACTTATTCATCCTAGTGTTAGCTGGCCTTGCAAGTATTTCAGTTTATTGGAATGTATTTCTGAATAACAAGTTAAGAAAATACACTAGTTAACTAAAGACACAAAACAACTGTCACTTTTACTTTAAACCCCTTTTGTTATTATATTGATAAATTTAGTTACAGTATTGATAAACAAAGTTTTCAATAATTAATATTTTAAATTACAATCCATAACTGCAAGGTTGTGTCATTGACCAAAATACAACGTTGAGTCAATGTCACACTATGACGGTGTTTCGACGTGGCTGGATCAACGTTGATTTAACTTTGAATTTAGGTAGATCAACGGCAATTCAACGTATCAACCTGTTTTCAACGTTGATCGAACGCAACTATGCCTGCTGGGAATGAAATGGCTCCGCATACTTAGTTTCACGAGGGATTAAAAGCGATTGCCAAGCATATGTCTTGTGGATGTTATGACTTGCTAATAAGAAAATGGTGTACATTCAATTGTTTATCTAACCATTTTTTTATTCCTGGACTCGAATCTGCCGTGTGGCAACATATATAAACTTACAAAATTTCATCCAATATTATCTTTCTGGCCGTATTCTTTTACGTTTTGTCATACTGCAATCTATTGTAGAACATTTTTTTACGTTTCATTTTGGAATAAATTCTTCAATAGAAACTCCCAGCATGGTGGATTTCACTTCATTCGAGCATGGTGTTTCACTTCATCTTCTGAAAAACGACGCACTTCGCGCAAATTCTCGTTTTAAAATGTCGTATGACGTCACTAGTACTACAGTCTCTTTTAATGCGATCTCGGTTCAAGTCCATTATGTTTTTTAATAAAAGAAAGTGTTTCCTAAAATGATTTCAGATATGACTATGAAGACACCCCAGAGATGTTGTCAGTTTTGGAGGAATCAGAGCGACTGAACAAAGGAGGACCTCTGGCCTTTACCAACTTGGCGCGCTTGCTTTTTCCGGTAAAATGGAACTATTCCAAACATTTTGCATAAGACCTTTTACATAGTGCTTATAATTCCCCTATATATTTTTCTTCATTTCCTATTCATTACTGGCGTATATTTTGTTAATTTTTGAGCAATACTTAATGAATTCATTAATTTCAGAATCAGACCATTGTCGACCTAGAGAACTTACTTTACTTGTAAAAAATTTGAGTGACAAAGCGTGTGCCTCAAACCACAAGAAAATTCCGATTCCTACAAAATTAAAGTTTTCATTCATATGAAAAATATATTCGCCCTCCTGGACAAATTGTAAATTTTGTATTTGGTTCTTGTAAAAAGCCTGTTGCAAAATTTGTGTCAAAAATTGCAAGAATGTTACTCAATTTAAGCAAAATTTGGTAAATTTCATTTCAGAAGAAGAAATTCGTCCTCATGGATGAATTATATAGTTTGATTAGACAGGAAGTAGAGCGGCACCGCCAGTCCTTTGATCCGACTGACATCCGGGACTTCATTGACCTCTATATAAAGGTCACCCAAGAGAGACTAGATCCAGAGATTTTTACTGGTATGTAACCGATTGCACGTATAAATTTGATCTCGACTTGATGGGATTCAACAGATTACTGTCTTTAAACGTTAATTAGGTGCATAACATACCTGGTATTACCCGATTAAATATGGATAATTTTCATCGCCGTAAACTCTGCCAATTGATTATAACCACCCTCTACTTATTATTATTGTTATCATTATTATTATTATTATTACAGATTGGAACGTTTTCCGCATCATAGTTGATCTGTATACGGCTGGAACCGACACAACAGCTAACACTTTGAGATGGTCCTTGGTTCATATGGTAAATCACCCGGATGTACAGAAGAAGGTGCAGCAGGACATTGATCAGGTAAAGACCCACAGTAAAAATGAACAAGAGCGGGAAAATTAGACCATCTTGTGTTATTATTTTTTTTACTTTTTAATACTGTGTACAATATATGTATTTATGCCTCGTTGTTTGTAAAATGTTCACAAAATTTGTCCTTAACCAATTTGTCGAGAGGCAGTCACGTGAGGCAAATTGTAAGTGGGTTGACCTCCCGTAGCCAACACATTCATATTGGATCTCTATGGCCACCACATGAGATGGATTTCATTAAGCAGTTCTGAATGTGATTTAATTATTTTCACTAATTAAAAAAAAACCGTGATCGTACATCAAAGGAGTTACTTGGTATAAGCTCTTATGTTTCGGTCAGTTGGAATAGTGGATGTTTGCCGTCAGTCAATTATCCCCACTTTGCTATGCCCACTTTGAACAGAGCCAAGAGGTGATCTCAGCTAAAGTCAGTAATTGTACAATGTTACTAGATTAAAGCGCGTGTTTCGTAACGATATGGTATTCTTTGTTTGATAAATGTATTTTTAAATTAAAATTTAAGGTCATAGGTCAAGGACGTGTTGCCAAGATGGAGGACAAGGCTAGCATGTCGTTCACTGAAGCAACCATACTGGAGGTCTTTCGCATGTCTACTGTTGGTCAGTAACTTTTTCTTTACATATTTCGAATTTAAATTGCCAACAAAAAAACTTCATTTAACAAAACTAGAGATACAGCGGTGTTTCCTTAATTAAATTCCGTCTTGGCATACTGCGACATATAATTTATAAAAATAGAAAACAAAGAAAATTAAAAGAAGAAAATAATTTGTTCGATTTCTGGTCCTATTTCCGGGGTGGAACTACATGTAGTTCTCGTCTGAACAAACTTATGGAGAAGAGGGGAAACAGGGTGTTACGGCAATTAATACAAGTACGCATAATTTATTTACGTGTAATTCGTTCGAATAAGTGTATTGTAGAACAGAACCAATTTACCTTTGGTGTCACTTTTAAGTTGCTTTCTAATATTTATATCTCGATACACTGAGTGCCAGTCTGTAAAATGTTACCCAACCTCTTGTGAATTCTCGCAAGTTGTCGAGTCTCGTATGACGTCACGCTGTGGACTCCATTCAAATAAATCATTTCAAGTACGAGAAATCTTTCATTCCATGTCATCAGCTCCCTTGGGTGGTCCCCATGCCACCAGTGAAGCTACAACTTTGGCAGGATACACCATTCCCAAGGGCACCATAATTTTGGGAGATTTGTACCGGGTTCTGCACGATAAGAATAACTTCGAGGATCCTTACAACTTCAAACCAGAAAGATGGCTTGATGGCGATGGTAAAGTGATCAAGTCGGACAAAATGATACCGTTTTCCGTAGGTACGTTACTTAACATAAGACCTTCATGTTACCATGCAGTGGCACATTTGTGAAATCATTACTTATTTATGTCTATATAAACAACTAAACGTTGTCTCCTAAAGATAATCAGAATTGCTTAAATCCGATCTAATAGGAAATACATAAGAGCTACTTTATTTTCATAATATATATAAATTTATTTATGTAATTTAGTGTACACTTTCTCATTGTTATCGGTTATTTGTATTTCAGGGCCTCGTATTTGCCTGGGTAAGGGACTGGCTGAAATGGAATCGTTCATTTTCTTCACCACGTTGCTTCAGAATTTCACCTTCAAGGTACCGGAGGGGGAGAACCCGCCCAGTGGAGAAGAGGGTCTGCATGGCCTCACTTTCTCCCCACTTGATTACAATGTGTGCGCAGTTAGGCGCTAGAAATATGTGGACTGAAACGATTAACTGAATCTTTTAGTTTATACAAAGCAGAATTTTATCCCACACCTCACATACTATAGATATCATTACATAAACACATTTGGTATTGAAATTAAGCACAAGCCTCAAGGGTCACTTGTATCTAATTTGATTGCAATTTATTAACAAACCCCAGCAAAAGTTAGATTGCAAAAAAAATACCTCCAAATCACCAAAGTCGATGTAGCTCTGAATATCTTAGGCGCAGTGCAAAACATTTCTCTGTACAAACAAGTTGCAAATTATTTGCTTTTTTATATCTTGCCCTGATTGTTAGATATGGAAATAAGATATGTTATATACAAATATATGTACACAATACCGCCCTATCGATATGATAAAATATTTAAAGAGAATGAAAAGATAGGCAAAATGTGAAAGTAGATCTTTCCAGTTATCAAAAACTGGAGTATGATGTGGTCTTTCACAACATGAAAAGTGATAAATGAAATCTTGAAAAATAAAAGTTCATGTAAATGACGGTGTTTTCGAGATGTAAAAGTCAGAAGAAAGGAACGTTTTCCATAATGGAAGTTAAAGATGATCTTTCGTTACGAAAAAGTGATCAAAGATGAGGGCTCATATTTTGGTAACATTTTGTAAATAAATGAAATGTGATAAAAGATGTTTTGTTTGTGCAGTGAATGAGATTCGTGTTGTCTTCTGTTTAAAAAATCAAGATCCTATCACTTGGTTTTCGGTTTTGAACATCTTGTCCTCAGAATGGGCTTCTTCTCATCCGGAATATTTATGAGAACTGCAGTAAGACAACTGAATGCATACACGATATTCATCACAATTTTATGTATGTTATTGTCATAACTTAGCTGGTTTCTGATATAAGATATGTAAATACATATGCATGCTCTCAAGATCGTAGTTAGATTGAGCAAATAGTATTTTGTTAAAACTCCTTAGGTTAAAGTAGACGGATCACTTTTGCGTCTGTTTTTAAAAAAATATTCCTTGAACTTTCGTGTGGAATCTCGCCATCTCTTCATGTCAATGATGTTAAAAACATGGTTGCATAAAACGCCTCTGCAGTAATACCTGCACGTAAACACGTGCATTGCACATAAAGATGTCAGGAATAGATTTTGTTTCGTATGGCATACACGTATAAAGCCTTACAGCTGTATACTGCTTATGCAATTCTAGTTCTGACATAATACTGGAAAAGTTGCTGTAACTGTGGAATCCAAAATGACCAACGTTGTGCAGAGTTTGTCTGATTTTTTTGCAACCCTTGGTTTGACGACAGTTTTGATATTCGTGACAGTGTTGTTGATAAGTCTGTGGATGTTGTCGTCGAGGAATCCTCGGGTGAACTGGCCCCCCGGACCTGTCTGTTTCCCTGTGGTGGGATGTCTCCCTCAGCTGATGATCAGCGGTAGAAGACGACAACCGACAGATCTTCTTCCATGGTATGATACATACGGAAATATCATGCACATCAAACTGGGTGAACAACACATGATAATGCTGGGCACATATGAGCTGATACAAGAGGCTTTCGTGAAGAATGCAGCTACAGTCAGTGCTAGGCCTACCTGGGTATATTACATCAGACGATTAGTCGGAAAAGACGGTAAATAAAGTGATTTCAACCTATTTTATGCAAGTGAGCTGTGTGAGTGTGTTTGGAGAGACATTGTGTGTGTGTGTGTGTGATGTGTGTGGGTTTTTGTGGGCGTTTATGTGATGATGATAAGTTTGTGTGTGTTTGATTGTGATTGTGTTTCTCTCCATCTCCATTTTTGTGTCTGGTAATTAAGGAAATGGAGCCATTAAATATGCTAATTATATGTAAACTGCAGGTGCTGGAGTTATCTTCAAAAATGGACACGCATGGAAGGAGCTAAGGAGATTCACACTCTCGTCTCTTCGAGATTTCGGCCTTGGGAGAAAAAGTTTACAAGAAAAAATTCAGGATGAGGCCAGATACTTGGTGCAAAACATTGAAGATGAAAACGGAAAGGCTTTTTCTCCCAGAGACAGGATTGGGAAAGCTGTCAGCAACATTATTTCTATCGTAGTGTTTGGAGCTAGGTAACTGAATAGCTAAACTTAGCGACTAGTAAAACTATTTAAGATATCTTAAATGATTTGGGGAGTATGTGTATAGACTTACATGTGCTGCCGGTACGGTGCACAATGTAAGTAAAATTATTTAATTAGCCATATCTTCAAGTCAATTGGCTTCTTCTGAGATCGTCCAAAGTCTCTCGAAGTATCTGGAAATCAAACGAAATGTCGCGAGATTTGAAAGAGAGCGTGATCAGAAATCAGCGCAGACCTTGCATTTTTTTTCACACTGCAAAGGGCCTGATATTTTGAGGTACCGACTCGTTAATCAATCATTCCAGATATAGAATGGATGCTCTCCTAGAATTAACAGAAGTTGCAAATAAATTGATTCTACCTGCAATAGTTCCGAGCCTATCTGAAAGCCGAGTGTTGGAAAAACAATGAAATGGCTCCTCATACTAAATTTCACGAGGGATTAAAAGCGATTGCCGAGCATACATGTATGTCTTGTGGATGTGACTTGCTAATAAGAAAATGGTGTACATTCAATTGTTTCTCTAACCATTTTTTCTATTCCTGGACTCGCGTCTGCCGTGTGGCAACATATATAAATTTACAAAATTTCATCCAATATTATCTTTCTGGCCGTATTCTTTTACATTTTGTCATACTGCAATCTATTGTAGAACAGTTTTTTACGTTTCACTTTGGAATAACTTCTTCAATAGAAACTCCCAGCATGGTGAATTTCACTTCATTCGAGATTGGTGTTTCACTTCATCCTCTGAAAAGACACACGCGCAAATTTATCGTTTTAAAATGTCGTATGAGGTTACTAGTGCTACAGTCTCTTTAAATGCGATCTCGGTTGAATTTCATTATGTTTTTTAATAAAAGAAAGTGTTTCCTTAAAATGATTTCAGATATGACTATGAAGACACCCCAGAGATGTTGTCAGTTTTGGAGGAATCCGTGAGACTGAACAAAGGAGGACCTCTGGCCTTTACCAACTTGGCGCGCTTGCTTTTTCCGGTAAAATGGAACTATTCCAAACATTTTGCATAAAACCTTTTACATACTGCTTATAATTCCCCTATATATTTTTCTTCATTTCCTATTCATTACTGGCGTATATTTTGTTAATTTTTGAGCAATACTAAATGAATTCATTAATTTCAAAATCAGACCATTGTAGACCTACAGATTTTACTTTAAACGTTAACCACAAGAATATTCCGATTCCTACAAAATTAATCAAAGTTTTCTTTCATATGAAAAATATATTCGTCCTCGTGGACAAATTGTACATTTTGTATTTGGTTCTTATAAAAAGCCTGTTGCAAAATTTGTGTCAAAAATCACAAGAATGTTACTCGATTTAAGCAAAAGCTGGTAACTTTCATTTCAGAAGAAGAAATTCGTCCTCATGGATGAATTATATATTTTGATAAGACAGGAAGTAAAGCGGCACCGCCAGTCCTTTGATCCAACTGACATCCGGGACTTTATTGACCTCTATATAAAAGTCACCCAAGAGAGACTAGATCCAGAGATTTTCACTGGTATGTAACCGATTTCACGTACAGATTTGATCCCGACTTGATGGGATTCAACAGATGACTGTCTTTCAACGTTAATTACGTGCATAACATACCTGGTATTACCCGATTAAATATCGATAATTTTCATCGCCGTCTCCTAATTGTAAACTCTGCCCATTGAATGTAACCACCCTCTACTGATTATTATTATTATTATTATTATTATTATTATTACAGATTGGAACGTTTTCCGCATCATAGTTGATCTATATTTGGCTGGAACCGATACAACAGCTAATGCTTTGAGATGGTCCCTGGTTCATATGGTAAATCACCCGGATGTACAGAAGAGGGTACAGAAGGAAATTGATCAGGTAAAGACCCACAGTACATTGTATAAATGAACAAGAGCGGGAAAATTAGACGATCTATCGTTTTTTTTTTTTTTTACTTTTTAATCCTGTGTAAAATATATGTATTTATGCCCCGTTGTTTGTAATGCATGTTCACGAAATTTGTCCTTAACCAATTTGTCGAGAGGTAGTCACGTGAACAAATTGTAATTGGTTGACCTCCAATAGCCAACACATTCATATTGGATTTCTATGGTCACTACATGAGCTGGTTTTCATTACTTGTTGTAAACTTTATGTTTAGTCAGCTGGGATAGTGGATCTTTGGTGTCGGTCAATTATCCTCACTTCGCTATCCCCACTTTGAACCGAGCCAAGAGGTGATCTCAGCTAAAGTCAGTAATTGTACAATGTAACTAAATTAAGGAACGTGTTTCGTAACGATATGATATACTTTGCTCGATAAACGTATTTGATTTAAGGTCATAGGTCAAGGTCGTGTTGCCAAGATGGAGGACAAGGCAAGCATGTCGTTCACTGAAGCAACCATACTGGAGGTCTTTCGCATGTCTACTGTTGGTCAGTAACTTTTTCTTTACATATTTCGAATTTAAATTGCCAATAACAATCTTCATTTAACAAAACTTAAGATACAGCGGTGTTTGCTTAATTAAATACCGTCTTGGAAAACTGCGACATCTAATTAATAAAAATGGAAAACAAAGAAAATTAAAAGAAGAAAGGGATTTGTTCAATTTCTGGTCCTGTTTCCGGGGTCGAAATACATGTAGTTCTCATCTTAACAAACTTATGGAGTACAGTGGAAACAGTGTGTTACGGCAATTAATACAACCACGCATTTTTTTTATTATTTACGGGTAGTTCGTTAGAATTAGTGTATTGTAGAACAGAACCAATTTACCATTGGTGTCCTATTTAAGTTGCTTCCTAATATTTTCTTCTCGAGACACTGAGTGTCAGTCTGTAGAATGTTACCCAACCTCTCGTGAATTCTCGCAAGTTGTCTTGTCTCTTATGACGTCACGTTGTGGTCTCCATTCAAATGAATTATTTCAAGAACGAGAAATCTTTCATTCCATGTCATCAGTTCCCATGGGTGGTCCCCATGCCACCAGTGAATCTACAACTTTGGCCGGATACACCATTCCCAAGGACACCATAATACTAGGAGATTTGTACCGGGTTCTTCACGATAAGAATAACTTCGAGGATCCTTACAAGTTCAAACCAGAAAGATGGCTTGATGGCGATGGTAAAGTGATCAAGTCGGACAAAATGATACCATTTTCCATAGGTACGTTACTTTACATTACACCTACATGTTAACCATGCAGCAGCGCATTAATGAAATTTCTAATTACCTCCGCCAAGGAGGTTATGTTTTCACCGCTGTTTGTTTGTATGTCTGTCTGTCGGTCCGTCTGTCATCAACAAAACTCAAAAAGGTATGGACCAATTTTGATTAAATTTTCAGGAACTGTCAGAAGTGGGCCAAGGAACAGATGATTAGTTTTTGGTGGTGATCCGGATCAACAATCGATCAATAATCAATAATAAAAATATTGAAAATTTAGGGATGAATTGGCATTGGATTGAGACTTTGCTTCCTTGGCGGAGGTCTGCGCTCTCTGAGTGCTTTTCTAGTTTTTGTCTGTATAAACAACTACTTTACCTTGTCTCTGTTAGGAAAATCAGAATTGCTCTAATCATATCCAATAAGAAATACCCAAGACCTACTTTATACACATAATATACTATCTGGTGCCCTTCCTGTTTTTTGCTGTGGCATATATAATATGTCACACATGGCAAAGCTTTATGGAAATTGTCGAAGGCTAGACAATGCATTCAAAACACGTTTAACAGTTAAAACCAAATTCAAACTGCGGCCAATATCTTCCCACTGCCCATAGGTATTGCTAACACCTGTCAGTTGTCAACATATCTTTCTAGTTTAGGAGTAATACGTGAAAAGGAGACATCGGTTGGGCTATTATATATAGTTACAAATGTATTTATGTAATTAAGTGTATATTTTCTCATTGTGATCGCTTATTTGTATTTCAGGGCCTCGTATTTGCCTGGGTAAGGGACTGGCTGAAATGGAATCGTTCATTTTCTTCACCACGTTGCTTCAGAACTTCACCTTCAAGGTACCGGAGGGGGATAACCCGCCCAATGGAGTAGAGGGTCTGCATGCCATCACTTTCTCGCCACACGATTACAATGTGTGCACAGTTAGGCGCTAGGAATATACTGACTGAAACGATAAACTGAATCTTAGTTTATACAAAGCAGAAATTTACCCCACACCTCACTTACTATAAATATCATTACATAAACACCTTTGATATTGAAATTAACCACAAAACACAAAGGTCATTTGTATCTAATTTGATTGCAATTTATAAACAAGCCCCAGCAAAAGTTAGATTGCATGATATTTTCTCCAAATCGCCAAATTTAATATGTAGTTCTGGATATCTTGGGCAAACTGCAGAAAAATTCTTTGCGCAAACAAGTCGCTTAGTATTTGCTTTTAGATATGGAAATCAGATATGCTATATGAAATCATATGTACACAATACCGCCCTATCGATATGATAAAATGAGTTGTTAAATTAAAAAAGATAAAATGTGAATGTAGATCTTTCCAGTTATAAAAAATGGAATATGAAGTGGTCCTTCACAATCTGAGAAGTGGTAGCTGAAATCTTGAAACGTAAAAGTTAATGAAAATGTAAATGATGGTGTTTTCGAGAGGTGAAAGTTAGAAAAAAAGGGGCATTTCACATAATAGTAGTTGAAAGATGACCTTTCGTCACGAAAAGATTATCAAAGATGAGGGCTCATCTTTGGGTTATACATTTTGTAAATAAATGAAAAGTGATAAAAGGCGTTTTGATTGTACAGTGATTGAGATTCATCTTGTCTTTTACTTAAAAAATCAAAATGCTATCACTTTGTTTTCGGCTTTGAACATCTTGTCCTCAAAATGGGCTTCTACTCATCCGGGACATTTCTGAGAACCGCATTAAGACATCTGAATGCATACATGATATTCATCACGATTTTATAGTCTGCCAGCGATTTACAGTTTTAACTACATGTATATTAGCTTGACAACCAGTGAATGAGTTTTACAAACCTAAAAGGCATTTCTTCGATAACAGCTCTCTTTTTTCTTTCTCTCTCTGTCTCTCTCTCACACACACATACGCACGAGCGCACGCACATAGGGACACACCCACACACAGTTATTCACATACACACGCACGCACACACGAATGCTTTAGAGTCCTGTGTCCAAATCCTTTGTAATTGTGGTAGAGATGACACATGGCTGCTTGACAATGTTGTCAAGATTCTGTTTCAAAAATCGATAATTTTGTCAAAAAATGATCCTCCACATATATCCCCCTTTCCAAAATTATGATTAGCAATTGGGGGGGGGGGGGGGGGGGGGGGGGAAGGAACATAAAAAATTTTTTTAAAGAAATTGAATTATCAAAGTACATACAGGGTTGCTACTTAATATGGAATATTTTTTATCATTGTTATTTTTGAGTACTGATTAATTTTTTTTGGCTTGAGTCATTAAAAAAGTATGCCACTGAGTAATAAAAACATCCAGTCTTCTGTTGTGAGATATTTTGGTCAATGATATCAAATCTGACATAAGATGCTATTCAAAAGAAAGGAACACCCCCAGAAAACCACATCAACAGTTTAATGTCAGTATTAACTTTAAGCTAAGATATTAAAGTAAATGATAGCCTCCGGACAGTGATATGTTACACAGTCAAAGAACTCACTACAGTAAATCATGAAAAGCCAGTAATTGCGGGTATGACCTCCAGCAGCCGCTTGCAGCGCCCTCATCCTACATGGCATACCCTGTAACACGTTTTGTAGAGTTTGGATGGGGATATCATTCCACGCAGTGATATTTGCCTGTCGCAGTTCATCACTATTTACCGGCCAATGACCATAGCTATTAATTTTGTGAGTTACTTTTGCCCAAAGATTTTCAATTAGGTTCATATCTGGAGAGTTTGTAGGCCAGGGCAGTTGCTGAACCCATTGGTTTTGAAGAAAAACAGTGATTCTGCGGCCTCGATGTGGGGTTGCGCAGTCGTCTTGGTACACAAAGTTGTCCTTGAAGATGGCTCTTACCAATCGAAGCATCGTTTGCCGTAGAATGTCTCTGTAGGAATCCTGGCTGAGGTTGCCTCTTACAAAAACCAACTGGTTCTGGGCACCGACATGAAATTCTCCTCAAACAGAGACGTTACAACCCCCTGCTTGCACCCTAGGTAGTACACAACCATCGTTTTATGTCCCTCGTACACGTCGGTGGACACGGATTCGACCATCAACCCTAAAAGATCCATATGTGGCCTCATTACTGAAAACGACGTGATTCCAGTGTTTTGGCTGCAAACGCACGTGGTCCCCAGCCCATTGCAGGCGTCGCTGTATATGACCTGCTGTTAACAGTGGTTTCCCTACTGGCCTTCGTGCAAAATAACCGGCTTGCAGTAATCTCTTGTTCACGATTGACGTTGAAACGGGCGTTTGAATGACATTCTGCCTCTCTTTTCTGAGGACACTGGTTGC